ACCTGATTGTAAGATGGAAAAACATCATTGATAAGAATGGAGACTATTTCATTTACTAAGTATTTTGTTTTGATATACAAGTTGTTCGAGTTTTTTTCATCTAAAAAAAGCTACATTCATTTCTTGATGACCTAATATATTATTTTTCTGTTTTATGTATTCAAACAAGGTTCATAAATAAGACAGTTAGCTGGCTACCTAACTATTTATAATTGTAATCATGGTGTGTTTTAAACAGAAACAATATTACTGTTGTGAGAGTAAAATATGTTATTTTATTGTTTTATCATCAATTTATTTGATTTACACTAGGTCCGTGGGGGATTACAGCATATTTTATAATGAAATAAAATGGTGAGGATATGGTCATCTCAACATTAGTGATTTGTCAATTGAAAAGGTTCAGATTATCTTTCATAAGAAAAATGCAGCAATAGTTTTTGACAATTTTTTTCACAGAGCATAATTTTGTAGCAGTACGACAAAATTCATGGGCCCTCAGATTCCCAGTTCAGCATGCTAACAACAAAGCCATGCCAAGCCCAAATGAAGTAACCAAGGTAGAACTTCTCTTCTTTAATCAGCTACTCTCTTTTTACTTTTTAATTTAACAAAAATAGAGTTTATCAACTATTATGTATGGATAAATATTATCTATTCAATTCGGCTTACCTGGATATCACTGTCCGTGTCAGTGTCATCTCCTTTCAGACTGGATAAAGATTCAACTTCATATTCAACTTGAAAAGAATAATCTTCTTCTAGCTCTACTTCATATTCATCTTCCTCTAGATACCACAGATCATCAGTGGAATCTTTCACAAAAGCTGTTTCATAGCCCTATCAAATAAGAAAACAGAAGGCAAGGAAACTTTAAGAAATTGTAAGGGTTAAAAGTTTAATCCACATTTTAAAAAGCAAAGTCCTGATTTTTGAAACTTGTTAATTTCAATGAAAAATTAATGTTAATTATTTCTTTAAATAGCACTGCTATTCTGTGTTAAATGTATTGTGTATACATTAATTTCAAAAAAATTGCAACATAAAACATGACATTGCTATATTATTAAAGAAATGAGAAAAAAATACTAAAATACTACCCTAAGGAAAGAACAGTTCACAGGGAAATGGTAAAAAAAATAGTCCAACCAAAATCATAGATATATGAAGTACAACTATGTTATGGTGACTGAAAAAATTAAAAGTTTTAGTATTCTTTTAAATATAAGAATAAAACTAGAAACAAAGTATTTATGCAAAAAGTTTCAGAAATACAAGAGCAGCAAACTGTAATGAGAATGTTGTTTTTAAAAGCCTTTACATGTCAAATATTTTTTTTTCTAAATTCTTTATCAAAATTAGTAGAAAAAATTATTTAGAAAAAAACTAATGAATGTGATAACTACTTTATTTTTGGCTCCAAGCTCCCAATTTTTGGAAATATTAATTATTGCATGAGAGTTCAATACTGTCTCAGTAGTTTAAAATTTTTTTTAACATGTTTAACATTTTCAAGTTCATGTTTCATTTCAAGCAATTACTAGCCCATATTGAACATGATACCTGAATATTTTTATTTTTTCTTTCTATTGAAACTTCCCTCAACTCTGGAATTTCGAATTGGGTTCACATCAACCCTAACCAACTTTTAAACATTTTTCTAAATTACTTATGTATCAATACTGCTTGAGAGTATGATTCTAATGGTTACATGATCCCTAATACATACAAATTACACAAAAAATGTAAACAGACATACCATCAATATTGCAATTAATCCCACTAATTAGTACTAGGGTTACCTATTTGTTTTACATGTAAAATACTTGTTGTATCACACAAAAACAAAAAATACTCATAATGATACAATATGTAGACTCCATCAACAGTGAACAGTAGAAAACAACAAAAACAAATCAGTAACTTGGGGATTAAACAGGAAATCTGAACAATAATATTTCCTAAAGAAAGACTTGTTAAAAAACTTTCTGAAGTGCATAGCTGTTCTTTGTTCTATGGTAAGAAATGATGATGTGCAAGTCAATAGAAGTTGAAAAAGTCTCACACTGCAAGTATGACATTGACCAATTATGATGTAAGCCATTATTTTACTAGTGAGTGAGTGTGTGTATATCTATTGCCATATAACTAGCAAACCTGGTTTGTACCTTTAGAGACCCCCAAGAAATAACAAGGGGTCAAGGTTTGGAACAGGTAAGTCAACTTTTGGTACATGTATTTCATCCTCACACTGTTTATATCAAGCATGTTACAAACTGGAAGTTCCTAGTTTTTATCATCAATTCCATAGCTTACATAAATCATACACAATCGTGACATAATACCATTTTCTTTTACTCTGTAAAAATAAAATTAAAACTGTGTATCATGAAAAAACAAAGACTTTCAATATATTCCACCCAATATTGCACTTACTGCATTAATAGGTAATCAAGACTATTGTGATTTTTTTTCTAAGGTTAATGACATACATGATTTTAAACATTGGTAAATGTATAGTGACTACACAACATAGCTTTAAATACACAATAAAATTCATGTTTGATCTTATCAACATTTTATTTAACTTTTTCATTACTAATGTTTTATAAAGATAATCAAAGGAAATGTTTGAATATTTTTTATTACAGACTGACTGATATTCACACATATCATATACAGAAAAAACAAAACAAAAAACAACTGTTCTGGACTGTTTAACATCCTCAAGAAATAGACTAATATTTTCAATTAGTAGGGTTATTAGTGGATTCCACTTGCTAGTTTTCTAAAAATAATTTTTTGCCCAATATCAATACATATCCTCGTATAAAAAATTTTACACAATTTTCTTTTCCATAGCTTTTACTTTCTATGTAATTGTTGATAGAGAACTGATAACAAATATGACATACAAATTTATTTATGCTTATTTTTAGTACAAGTATGCAACTGTTAGTCTATGATGAACAACTGTTATTATACAATTTTTTAATGCCAAAAAATATGTCACATATCTTCTAGATTTTGGCATTTATATACCTATATGTCCTTTTGCATTACATCTAAAATTTAAAACTGAATAAATGTGTTTTCTGGATATTAATGTATAACTGCTTTCCTATTTAGTTGAAGTTTTTATTTTTAATGTCTAAATGACAAGCAAGACTTTAATGAGACATGGAAAATAAGTAAACCTGTGTTTTATATCAAAAATAAAAATGTATCTTAATTTTGAAACTGCACTTGATAATGATCTTAAAATGAATATAACCTAGATGTTGGTGAGAGCTTATAGTTCGGTTTGTACCAGCATACTTAACACAGATTTAAGATGCAATATTTTTGCATCCTAAGTTTAATCATGCAATAGCTCAAAATTTTATGTACAAGTAAATTTAATTATATACCTCAAGACTTTTTCAAAGTGCACTCTTATGTCATAAAACTATTTATGAATTATACTTCATACTGCAGAACTAGGATCGTACAATACAGAAAACATATGAAGTATAAATTTCAATTTGGAAGGTGAAAATTTTGTCATTCAAAAAAGTTAAATTCTTATTATTAATGAATAAACTAAGCATTTCAAGAAAAGCAGTGATATTTTTAAAGAAGCACCATGAAAATTAATGGATGATGACTAGGAAGACAAAATGACAGAAATTTATGATATCAAAGAAAATGCAGGAAATACAATCCAAGAAGGAATTTATACTAAAAACTATTGTGAACTTCCAGGGATTGTGGGAAAATGAACCATGATTCAGGTAGAACTATTACTTGCCAGTGATTAAAATATTATTGGAATTATTGGAACAGTTATGACATTCACAAAGTTAATAAGCATGCTAAATGAATGACTTGTTTGTCTCTCTCTCTCTTTCTAGACACACATAAACACACACATCAAAAACCTACTAGAATGAATAAATATGATATTGAAGATACTGTTAGAAGCGATAAGTAAAAAAGCATCTAACTGGAAAAATTGTTTTTAGGGATATCATGATATGCGAGAATTATCAGATTATTTTTAAAACATATTCTACAAAAAAATATAACACAAAGGCAGCTACCACTGCAATTTTACACTAAAAAGGACAAAAATACAGATGCAATTAAGATTGATAAATATCATGAGTGATTACATGAAAGTCAACTGAAAAAAAAAGTCTCTTTTTATTACATACTGAAAAAAAAACATCAAACTTTTACATGATTGGGATTCAAACTCACATAAATTCAAGGAACATGTTTCATTAACAAATAATATAGAGAAGGTATAATAAAACCATATCAACCTCACAGTGTATGCACAACAATTCATTAGTACAACATCCAGAGACACAAAACATTAAGAGTACCTTCTAAAGATGTTGATCGAACAGTCACATGTCAAATTATACAATTATAGTAAGTTAAAAAGCTGTAAAAGACAATCAACAAAATTTTAAACCCTGATGACCAGTGTCACATTAAAAATCAGTAACTTCAAATGTTTTAAAATTGAGAATACACAAAATGCAAACATGTATTCATACATTTAGTGTTGATGGCTCTCTTTGGAACTAATATAAATCTTCCATTTCATACTTTTGAAACAAGAGGAGACTTAAATGCTAACCTAAAGACCTTTCTTATTCCAGTTGCAATAATCACTATGAAAAATATTAATTACAATTACTTTTTCCAGTTTAGTTAAGTTACTCGCTTCCAGGTTACTATTTTGAAATAGTGGGGAAAAAAAGTAATTACTAACTGTGAAAAGTTTGCACAAAACTAAATTACAAAATATAGCAACTTAGATAAGATACCTAAACAAATATACACCAATATAATTACACTATCCTTCAAATCAATCAAACTTCTATTTTGTACAGAACAAGAGCTACTGGGCCTGAGAAGTGTGTGATTACAGCCACAAAGATTGTTCATAGGTGATTACAGATTTGACCTGAAAGTTACTTCAAAAATAACTCAGTACAAATAATTCTAAATGCTAAATTAAAATTAGAAACATTCATTGGAAGATAATTTTGATAGTGAATGATCTGTAAGAAAGATACTGATCTTTTATTTGTACAAGTTTACTTATTCCAAATTTACTCTTCCAGTAAATACAAAGTAAATATAGTCTAGTGAAATAATCCTGAACTGTTTTGCAAGCTTCAAATGCCTGATGTTCTATTGCAACAGTGATTATAAGAGGATACTTGATCTGTGTGCATAGTGAAACACTCCTGCACAATCTGTATCTGTTCTGGTAACAAACTAATGACATCACGAAAATTTTGGTGCAACAATAAAATTGATAGTTAACCCACTGACTGCTGATTTGCCACACAGGGTACGACCCATCTCTGGCATTTGAATGTGAATGTGCCATACACGATATATGGCTTGCAAAAAATTCCATGAGCATTTAGAGCAGCCACAGTTACTGTGTTAACAACTGAATTTTGCAAAAACACCAAAAATTGTAAAATGGTAGTTTATAAAAGTAATTTAAATTTTTTCCCTTCCAATTCTTGTGAAATTTAAATTAAAAGCAAAATGCCAAAATTCTAGAAGAAAGATAAGGTGGGATAAAAAGGTACCTTAACTTTGAATACAGTTTTCACCAACTCAGATGAACATCATGAAAAACCAAAAAGTTTTTAAAATAAAGCCCACTTTACTATAAATATCACTTCAAGTTAAAATAAAGATTTTATTCAGATATTAATTAAATGCACTACTTTTAAATGGAGACCATTTTACCTATAAGGTTGGATAAAACAAACCCCAGGATGGGGTAAAATGACAACAAACTTATAACAACTGCAATTTAAAAT